GTACATAGTAGGAGCTTAATAAATGCTTATTGCTTGAGTGGTTGTCATTGTCATTATGAGGAAACTGAGGCTCAGGTCAGCCAAAAGTGACTTTTCCAAAATCACATAGCTATTGTCAGAGGTGTGATCAGAACACAGATTTTCCTGACTCCAAGCCCAGCACATCATCCACCACACCACTGCTCTAATTTAAGCTATATATAAGAAAGGAGGACAAGTTGTGTAGATCTTTAAAAATGAAATAGAAACCTATGTATTACAAAAATTGTGCCGGAGCACTCCCATTGGAAGTTAGGGCAATATGACTTCCAGATGGCTCTTCCAGCCCGGGGATTTTATGCAAAAACAAGTAAATAAAGGAACAAAAAAGGCTGTGTCTGGTATAGTGGATTCAAGAGAAGTGGATGGAGTCTGGGAATTGGGGGTCAAGAAGTTCCTGCCTCTGCTGCTTATTTGGGATCCTAGGCAAATCATTTTACGTCACTGGGCCTCATTTTCCTCATCTGTAGAATGAAAAAACTGGATTCGATCTAAATCTAAATCCTATGGGCAGCACACACCTGTACTTTGGCTGCCTTACACCAGACTGGTGAGATTAAAGGCCAATTACAAACCTCTGACTTGAATGGGAGCCTTTCTAAAAAGTACGAGAATTCCTCAGAACTTCTCTGATTCATTCTCCACTTTCCCCCTTCCTTCTCTCTGGTCACAGAGGAATGAGTATCCTTGCTCCTTACTAAGGCTCCCATTGCCTTTTTCCTTCTCTTCAGCAAATGTCTTTCCTTCTCATGTAGCTTTAATCTCTGATTTTTCGTGAATTCTTTCTCATTTGCTTGCTAACATGCTCAGGTGTCTCTGATCCTAAACAAAACAAAATAAAAAATTCCCTGAGTCTCATCTGATCTGGCTGCCAGTTTGTCATATTCTTTCTTTTATTGCCAAACTTCTTTAAAAAATTGTCTATGTCCAAAGTCTCCCAAGAGGCTCACCATTCTCTCTTTTCTCAACCCTTTCGAGTCTGTCTTCCTCCCCCACCATTATACTGAAACTAGTGCCCCAGAAGTCCCTATGACCTTCTAATTGCCATATTCAATCTCCATGTTCATTTCTCATCACTGTTGGTTTTTCCATAATGCCCAATACTGTTGACCACTTCCATCTTTCTGGATATTCTCTCTTCCTTTGGCTTCAGAGACACCATATTACAACAGTTGTCTTCCTACTTCTCTCACCATTGCTTCTGTCTTCTTCCATGGCTCTTTACACTTCCAAACCTTTCAAGGTTAAGTGTATTTCCCAAGGAGAAACTTTCCTTGGTCTCTCGTCCTTTCTCCCTACAGTCTCTCCCTAGGCAGTCTTACTTACTCATTCTCATGGTTTCAACCATCACTTCTATGCAGATGACTCCTAATTCTGTATCTCCAGCCTTGACCTTTTGTTTTAATCTCCACAGACACACACACACACACACACACACACACACACACACACACACACACACCCCTCCCTCAGTCTTTCTACAAGCCTGTTTTCCATTTAAACTTCTAACTCAGCATGGCCAAAATCAAGCTTACTATCTTTCCCCAATGCTCCTCTTCCTCCTCCTCCTGCCTTAGTTATTTTGTTAATGGTGTGGCTATTTAACGTAATCTCCCATATTTGAAACCTGGATATTATGTTTGATTCTTCCCTCATATCTAATCAGTTACCACTCTAGTCAGTCAACCAGTATTTACTAAGCACCTATATTATGAGCTGGCCAACTAGGGGGAAGCAGTGGATAGAGCGATGAGCCTGGAGTTAGGAAGACCTGAATTTGAATCTGGCCATAGACACAGTATCTGTGTTACTTCCCAAACATGTCACTTAACCTATTTGCCTCAGTTTCCTTGTCTGTAAAATGAGTCGTAAAAGGAAATGGCAAACCACTGCAGTATTTGACAAGAAAACCCTCAAAATGGGCTTGCCACATGACTGATAAACGATTGAACAACAATATTAAGATCCAGGCACTGTGCTAATTACTGGGGATACAAAGAAAGGGGAGGGGGAAACACCATCCTTGCCCTCAGAGAGTTTGCATTCTAATGAAAGGCAACATTTACATAATTATGTACAGACCAGAGGTAGCCGAGAGTAGACAGAATGTTGTTTGTTTGTTGTTGTTCTATCTGTCCGTTCTGGTAGAGGACCAGTGACATCAGGAAGACGATGTCTTGACTTGCAAGTGAATTGGATTTAAGTGAGGCAGAGCTGTGCAAAGTCATCAGCCTCATTCTCTCCTCCAGAGCCAATGGAATCCAGTGGCAAGACACAGGTCAAGAAGACTGGTGATGACCCTGCATGCAGTGGGAGACCTTGGTTTTTTTTTTAAACTAAGTATTTCCCAGGTCTCAGTTTATTTGAGTCAATACTCATTCAGTAATTAAAGGCTAGGTAAGAACTGAGGCAAAAGATGGCCTAGTTTGCCTTCTTAAAGACAGAATGTATTCAAAGAAAAGAAGGCAGCTGGGGGAACTGGGAAAGGTCTGTTGTAGGAGGTGAGATCTGAACTGAGTCTTGAAGGAAGCGCCAGGGAGATGGTGGGGTTGGGGGGATGGGGATGGGAGTGGAGGTGAGCAGAACATTCCAGGCATGAACAATAGCCGGTGCAAAGGCATGGTGAAGAGAAATAGAGTGTAGGAACAAGAAGGAGACCAGTCCCTTTTAGGCTTCCTCCATAATACTACTCTCTTCTCTCTATTCCACTGCCATTACCCTAAAAGAGGAGTTTCATTACCTTCTTCTTGGATTATTTCAACTACCTTCCCATAAGTCTTCTTTCTCATACTTACAATCCATCCTTCATATCCACCTTATATGGAGATCTTCCTTATACATTAGATAATTGATTTAGAGTGGGAAGATGAAGAAACTAAGTATCAGGGAGGTTTAGTGACTTGCTTGAGATTACAAAGGTAGTAAGTACTGGAAACAGGATTTGAATTCAGGCTTTTGACTCCAAATTTAGTATTCCCTCAATGGGACTATGCATCTAGCCATTCTCTCCTCTGCTCAAAAAATTGAATTTTAAATTATGAAAAAAACCCAACAGGCAGAGGGAGGGAAAAATCTCAATACTGAAATTTACATGGAACATGGAAAAATATGGTGAAAAAATGGAAAAAAATATGGAAAAAATAGTGAGCAAAGACAGAGGCTACCTATTGTCTATTGAATGAAGTTTAAAGTCTTTTGCCTGGCATTCAATGCTCTCCAAAGTCTAGTAGTGTTATCCTGTTTTCCCCATCTTATCTCATACTATAGCCTATCACGTACTGTAGCCAAACCAAACTACTTTATATTCTCTGAACAAACTCTGAACTTTCCTGTCTCCATGTTTCCCCAGCCTAGAGTATTCTTCCTCCCTCTGCCTACTGAGTTTTATTCTTTATTTAAATCCCAATTTAAATGCCACATCCTCCATGAAGCCTTTGCTCATACCATCTAGTCATAGTACCATAGATTTTTTTACAGCTGGACGGAAGGTACCTTAGAGGTCACTTAGACCAATCTCCTACTTTTACCAATGAGGCAATAAGTCCAAGAGAGGTTAAATGACTTGTGCAGAGTCAAAAAACCAGGAAGGGCCCCAGATGGTATTTGAATCCAGATCTCCCTATCTCCAGGTCCATCATGTCATGCCATGTTGCCTATTAGACAGTAAATATATTTTCCCACTTGCAACTCTGGTGTGCTTTTCATGCCTTATTCTGCATTATAAAGTCATAATACAAAATCTTTTACTGTCTTTTAAAATGAAATCTATTCTAGTCTTTACAGCATCATTTAGAGCTCACCATTTAGCTGTCAACTAGGTGGCGCAGTGACTAGTATGCTGGACTTCGAGTCAGGAAAACCGGAGTTCAAATCCTTATATACTTCCCAGGTATGTGACCTGGGGCAAGTCACTTAACCTCTCTCAGCCCCAATTTCTTCATCTGTAAAAAAAATTTCTTTATCTGTATATGTGTGTATATATATGTATATATATATGTATATATATATATTTATGTATATGTGTGTTTATATATGCATAAGCATATGTGTATATATGTATATTTATATACATTATCTCATTTAAACATCACAATAGCCCCAAGAAGTAGGTACTACTATTATTATACCTATTTTACAGATGTACACACATGTAAAACATTTCACAAACTTGAAAGCACTCTATAAATGCTATTATTACTCTATAAATGTTATTATTATTATTTATTCATATGCCCAGTGCCTGACAATTCTTTTCTTGGAGGAAGTCTTCATAATGAGTTAGATATAACATGACCTCAGGCCCTTCTGAAGGCAAGGCTGGCAGAACTAAAGTTTCAGTTAGTTTTACCAGGTTGGAAAGCCTTCCCAAGTTTTTGTCACGGACTGTGTCTTCTATTCAAGAGGCAGCCTAGCTGCAGTAACTTCAGAGTCCCATCACCAGATTATCTTCAAGGTGGATTTTTCATCCATGCCCCTTCACAAAGATCAACTGTTAAATAACAGAAGGGTTGTGACGTACATTGGCAGAGGGTCCCCCACCCTGACAAGATCACTGATTCTTTGAGACTAGCTATATTTTAGGGGCAGCTAAGTGATGCAGTGGATAGAGTGCTGGACCTGGAGTCAGGAGCTCAAATCCAGCCTCAGACACTTGACACTAGCTGTGTGACCCTGGGCAAGTCACTTCACCCCATTGCTTAGCAAAAAACAAACAAACAATAACACAACAAACAAGACTAGCTATATTTAACTCCCAGTAAACTATAAACTCCACGAGGGCAGGAGCTGTATCTCTGTATCTTCCCTCCATGTTTAACACAGTCTTTACACACTCCAGACCCTTTGAATGATCTCTGGCCCCTTTGAAGCTGAGGGAGCTCTTGTGTCTGTCTACTAGCTCCTGAGCAGCAGACAGAGAATACTGCTAGGGGAAAACCAGCATGGACCAGCTAATCACATACCTTCGTTGTCATAGGACGTGATGACTTGCGTCTGCTGATGGTGCTGTGTCTGGGCCACGTTTCCTATTTAAGTAAGAGAGAAAATACTGCAGTGACCATTGGGACTGGGGTGGAATTTCTCTCAGGGCAGAGTAAGGAGATGCATGCATATGCCTTCAGCAGAGGCTGGTTATCCAAAGGCTGCCAACATCTCCTCCCTCCCCTTCGTTCTCCCTCCCACACCAAGGTCCAGCTCAGCAGGGGGAGACCTTTCATCAGTGTCCCAAAACAGATTGAGTTTCCTTCATTACCAAAGAGCTGATCCTAAGCTTAGAAGGGAGGGCACAGAGTCAGGAAGCCTTTTGTGCCCGCTGGGGAAGGAGGCCTTTGTCCCTTGTAAATCACTGCCCTAGAGAACCATTTCCCACCTCCACCTCAGCCCTGCCCACGATTGGTGCAGGTGGCTTGATTTTGTTGCATTCAAAAACTGAGGCATCTTTTTCAAAGGTGCACACTCTAATTTATAACCTTCAAAGGAATACAAAATTGCTGCATCTCCTGGGGGGAACTTAAATGATTGTGTAACTTTTTGTGTAACAACTTCTATCTACTTACTGTCTACACTTTGAATGACAGTTCTGTCTCACCCTAGCTCCCCTTAGCTCTCCCTCTCCAAGGAGATAGTCTAGAACAGGGAAGTAAGTAGTCATCCTACTAATCCTGCTATTGAACTCTGTACCATGAATGACTTTGGGCAAGACACTTCCCTTCCCTGAGCCCCAGATTTACCGAATCACTGAATGTGATTGGAAGGGACTTTAGTAGGCATCTCCCCTAACCCATAAATGAAAGGAATCCCCGCCAAAATAAATCTGCAAAATGATGAGGGTGGACTAGATGATTTCTGTGGTTCCTTCCATCTCTGGTATTCTTTGATTCAGAATCCCTCATGCTGTGATTCTGTTAACTGAGCAAGGGGGTTGGGGAAGAGGGGAATCAGGATGCTGGCAGCAGGGGGCATTGGCGTTATGGTACTGAACTCATCAGTCTTTCCTCCTGCCCTCCACCTTTGACCATCTGCCCTCTATACTACTTCACTGGAACATCTTTACTGCCTTAAATCCTAATGAGGCAAAGAAAGGGTTCTTTAAAAGTAGGGAATGGTGGGATCAAGCAGATATTAACACATGCTCACATTTACATACTATTTCACAATAAACCTGTGAGGTAGGTAGTGCAAATAATAACATATCTATTTTACAGATGAGGAAATGGGGGCTCAGAGGGGATGAGTAGGGTCACCCATATCCACATACAAATCTTTTGACTCCAAGGTCAATGTTCATTCCTTTCCCCCACCCCCCAACACACACATAGGCATCAAGGTGCTTCTTCATATACAATACACCCTTGGAGGTAGGTTTAATTTTACAAATCCACTTTCCTAGTGTCCTACCAAAGTTGTAGACAATAGTACCGAGGAGGCTACTTTCAGCTTTTGTTTCATTTCTTGCTTTACCTAAATTCCGATTTCTTTTTGTCCTTGAACTGATTTGGGTGACTTCTGCATGGTCCCTAATTCCTCTTTCTGATGCCACCAAAAAGGGAAGTCTAAGCTTATCCTTTCTTCTTTCTCCTTTGTTCAAGGTTGTAGAATCAAAGAATATTGAGCTGTCAGGGACCTTAGAGATTAACTAGTCTAACTTTCTCATTTTATAGAAATTAAGTTCCAGAGACCCAGAAAGAGAGTGCCATATTCTAAGCTCTATTTTCCAAGACTACACATGAGAGGAACTAAGGTACTCCACTTGGAATTTCCTGGGATCACGCCTTTTCTGGCCATTTTCTACTTCTCCCTCAATGGGGATAGTGCTCCTTCCCCATCCCCTTTTCCACTTCTTGCTTGGAGAACTATAATCAAATTAACGCTAACATTGCACCTGGAAAGGCTTGTCAATCGATTAACCTATTGTCCCCCTCCCCCTCCCTGCAACTTCCCAGACCAAACCACCTTACCTTGGCCACAATACTATGTGTTTCTCTTTCTCTCTCTCTCTCTCTCTCTCTCTCTCTCTCTCTCTCTCTCTCTCTCTCTCTCTCTCTCTCTCTCTCAACTCTTTGACAGCAGAGACTCTGTTGCTTTGCATTTTTATTCTCAGAGTTAGTACAATGTTTGGTGCATACTAACCACTTAATAAATGCTTTTTTCCCCTTCATTTTTTTCATCTCTCAAGGTCATGCAGATAGTGAGTAGCAGAGCTAGTATTCAAATCTATGTCCTCTAACTCCAAATCTCTTTCTCTTTCTTTTCTTTAAATGCACTTTTTTCCTTTTATCTGTATCCCTTCCCTTTCCCCCTCCCAGAGAGCCATTCCATATAGAAAAGAATACTTTAAAAAAAAAGAAGAGAAAAAGATATATGTAAAAATCAATCAATATGTTGAAAAAATTGACAATACATGAAATGTTCCCAACCAGGGACACCTGGACATCCTTCTCCACCTCTGCAAAGAAGTGAGGGTAAGTAACTACCTGCATCTCTTCTTTGGAGTCAAACCTATTCTTTGTAATTTCGCAACATTCATTTTTGCATGTTTTGTGGTTATTTCTACTTCTCTTTTTGCTACATACACCAGGCTGGTTCTTCAGTTCTAGAGATTTAGCATCCTCTAGCAGCATCTCATTATTTCCCATCATTTAAGGCCAAAACCAAGCCCAGAGCAGGGAACTGGCCTTAAAGCAGTCTCCCGTGGGCATGTAGTAGCTTCCTTCTAGTGCCTCCCATCCTCTCTTCCTCCAATTCTCTTTAAGACTGATTTGTCCCTGAGTCTACCAACAACTCAATAAAACACTGTGCTCAGTGGGAATCTCTGATCCTCAAACCCTGAGGCCTGAAGACAGGAAGGCTGAGTTTCTGCATAGGACAGCTGGTTGTCTCTCCTGGGAGGTGGGGGGTTGAGGAAACCAGATCCTGGGGAAGGGAATCCTCGAGGAGGAGGATTGGCTGGCACTGATGGACGATTGGTATTTATAGACATGACTGTACAGTTGATTTCCATATGTAACAACAGAGCTGTACAGTGCTGCTAGGTAGAGTTCACTGAGAGACTGGGGAACAGCGAATAGAAACACAGAGGAACACAGAGCCAGGAAAGCGGGCATGGCTCCATCCTGAGCACAGCCGGTTGGATGACAGTGTTGCCAGGCTGAGTGTCTCAACAATTTGTTATACTGGCTCTGCCTTTAGAAATTCTATGGGGTACAAAGTGAAATCATAACAAGCAGAGGATAAATTTTTTTTAAATGGCCAGAACCTCTATCCAATTATATGTAGCAAAACTGAAAATTTGACAGGAATAAGAGAATTATCTACAAAAAATGTAAAAGACCTAGATGAACATAACAGCAAATAAAGATATTAAATAATCCAATTTCAGAAAAGCAAATTGAAGTATCTGGAAAGAAACTACTAAGGTGGGGGGAATACATTGCTCCAGATGGATTTAGGGGAGAATTCATTACACTTTTAAAGAACAATTAATACCTATATTATACAAATTATTACCAAAGAATTAGAAAAAAAAAGTTTTGGCAAACTACTTTTATGAGACAAATAGTCCTAGAACCTAAACCAGAGAAGCATAAAGCAAAGAATAGGAAGTATAGGCTAATACCATCCATAAATATCAATTCGAAAATTTCCAACAAAATCCTAGCTTTAAAAAAATGATATATGATGATGGTTGGCTTATTTCCCTGCTACCCTCAATTTTTGGCCATTCGAGTAAGCATTCTATTATTAGATCTACCTTAGCCCACCTCAAACTATTGTTTGAACCTAGAGCAATGGTTCTCAGAGTGTGATCTATGGACCTTTGGCATCCTTGAGACCCTTTCAAAGGGTCTTTGAGGTCAAAACTATTTTCATAATAATACTAAGACATTGTTTGTCTGTTAAAATACTCCTCCTTTTCCAATTTATTTATCTGTGTGAGGCCAGATTTTCTTCAAAGACTTCAACTAAAATAATATATCACAACAAACTGAGTGCATAAGAAGAGATAGAACCTGTCCTCTATTAAGCCAGATATGAAGGAGATTTGTAAAAATACATAAAACAACGTCACTCTTCTTGCTACATTTTTTTTTGCTTTGGACAATAGTTATTTTTCATAAGATGTTATTTATGATAACAGGTAATGAATTTATTATTGTTATTTTAAAAGAATAAGTATTTAAAAGTTTTATCAGTTTTAATTTTCAATGCAGAAAATATTAACGTATAACCCACACAAACAAAAGTTCTTTGGGGCCTTTAATAATTTTTAAGAGTATCAAGGAGTCCTGATTCCAAAAAGTTTGAGAACACTGACCTAGAGGAAATGTTTGAAGTTTCATAAAACTAATCTGGTTAAATAAGCATAGGACAAGAAGTCATGAGCCCTGAATTAGAATTCCATATTGGCTGTTTATCAAGCATATCATCACAGTGGTTACAACTGTTCTGGGTCTTAGTTTTCTCATCTATAAAATAGGAAGAATAATATTTTAATTATCTGCCTTTCAGGGTTGGTGTAAAGAAAGTGTTAAGAATTATAAAGTAGTAGAGAAATGGGAACTTTTGCATCTTTCTAAAACTCACTTCAATTCTCTGTCCCTCATTTTTCTCATCTATCTAAGGGAGATCTCTTGGGATTGCTGTGAGGATAAAAATAAACCATGAAACCAGAAAGGTCTTTCAAAAAATGAAATTCATTCTAGAAAGGGTGGCCTGTGTATCACAGGCACTCAATAAGTAAGTGTTAAATAAATGAAAAAGGAAGGGAATGATAGATGAGTCTGTATTTCCAAATAAGTACACCAGCAGGAGACTAGCTTGCCACTTCCCCAGCTCACCATCTCCCCAGGGCACACATGGAGTAAAAGCAAAAGTCAGCAGTTTTCACCTAGCTTCTAGTCATGACTTGGCTAGAAAGCCATTAGATTAACCTGAGAGAACTCAGGCACAGGCCCATAGATTTAAAGTTGGAAGGAATCTAAAGGTCATAGAGACCAACCCTTTCATTTTCTAGATGAGGAAACTGAAGCTCAGAGAAGTAGCTTGCCCAAGTTACACAGGTATGAAGAAGCTAACTTGAGATCTAGCAATCTTTCCACCGGACCTCTTGGCAATAGATAAAGAATTGGAATTTAAAAATTGGAAAGTGTTCCATCAGGGCTGACCTGATGCTGGCACTGGCTTTCACCACTTCTAAATCTTTGTGTTGGGCTTCTGTTAAATGGAAAAGACTTAGGAACACGTAGAAGACAGTAAATCTTTTCACAGCTAACAGCGCCTTGGAACCTGTCTGGAAAAGGTATCCTGCGAGTGATAACAGAGAGGCTGATGTACCAGCACAGACGGGAATCTTTGGCTCACCCAAGGAATTGCTGCTACTGACAGAGAGGAAAAAGTGGTCCATATCCATCGGCCAGTCCTGGTTCTTTGTTTAAAAATATCATGGGATTCTGAGATGCAGAGATCACTGGAGCTCAAAGCAACCTCAGAGAATATCTAGTCCACCCCTTCTCTTTACAAACGAAGAACACGAGGGCATAGCTGCTTGTCCAGGATCACACAGGTCTTCAGTGGCAAAGCAGGATTCTGACCTATGGCTTGTAACTCCTGGTTTAGGATTCTTTTTGGGTGGGGGAGTAAAGGGGGAGGGGAGGCTGTGGGGAGTGTGGGGGAGGAATTTGGACCTCTGATTTCATCAATTTAGAGAGCTCCTAGTGAAAAAATCACCAATAAATCCTCAACTGTTCCAGACTTAAGAGATTTGGCTGGGGGCAATCAGACATTGGGTTACTTGCTCAGGGTCACATAGCTAGTATGTGTAGGAGGAAGGTTTTGAACCCAGACTTTGTTAACTCCAAAGCCAACTGGACTTCTCTTCCCACTACTGGCTTCTCTCCAGTGCTTTTTACACTGTTCTTTTCAGTATACCCTCTGCACCTCCCTTCTTGACAAATCCCACAGAAAAACAGAGGCAGTCTTGAGGCCAACTTTTATCCAGCACCTAAATCCTAACTGAGACACTCAAGCAGATCTGTGGCAAACTTAGCGCTGATTTTTCTTGCTCACAGTCCATTTTCTTTTAGGATTAGCCTGATTTCTCAGGGTTTGATTCTGTTGTTCAGGGTTGCTTTAGTTGGAATGTCAGCTGGATGGTTTAACCTCCATTAGCAGAATTAAGAGGGTCTCTGAAAGGACACAGGACTTGATAATCATTATCATCATATAGTAATAATTCACATTTATACACACACACACACATATGTATATAATATTGTATGGACTATTATTATCTCCATTTTTTACAGATGAGAAAATCAAGGCCAGGAGAGAAGATGTGACTTGTCTGGGATCATATAGCTAATTAAGTATCTGAGGCAGGATTTAAATTCAGGCTTTCTTGAGTGTAAGTCATTTAGTATTCTACCCATGATGCCTCCTAGCTACCTAATAAAACAATTTATATTTTATTGATATTCTTTTCTTCTTTCTTTTCCATCTCTATTACTTTCTACTTTTTCACCATCTCCCCCATCCCAATAAGGACCCTCTCTTGTAACAAACAGCTAAGCGAAACAAAATCAGCACATTGGCCTAAGTCTAAAAATCTGTGCCTCATTCTGTACCTCTAACGCATCATTTCTCTTCCAAGGTTAAGACGGTTAGGAAAGACACAAATTCCTAGAATTTGAAGGAACTTTATAAAGCTAGTCTTCAAAATATAAAACACACACACACACACACACACAAATGGGTTGTTAGTGACTGTTACCAAAGTAGCCCAGGATCTGGCCCATTTGAGTTGGCTTACAGATTCCATTCTTAGAGAGATTACCCTTGGATTGAAATAGAAGTAAGTAGTGGGTTGCATCTGAATTGAATGGTTACATGGATTGAATCACAGAACAGAGGGCTTCAGAATCTTTCCCAGACTAAAATAACACTTTATCATGTTCTTTGCTCCTAGCTCATTATGGAATCACAGAATTCTTGGCCAGTCTCTGCAGGTAATTTTGTCCAAAACCTAAACGTAATCAGGTTTCATAGAGGAGACCATTTTAAGGCAGAAAATCCTTCCTGGCAGTCCAATACATTTGGCCTGCCTTCCTTAGCTCCAAGGAGCTGAAAAAGACCTCAGGAATCATTTAGTACAGTCTCTGGACACTCCAGGCTGAAAGAGGAACAACGTCACCTTGACCTTGTGTCACAGATAGAACATTTGGAGCTGACAGGTATTTCAGAACCAGTCTGCAAGCCTGGGCCAACTTCAGTTGCTCTCATTCCTTTTCAGGAAGACTGAATTCCCAGATAGTTAAAAGAAAGAAAGAAAAGAAAAGAGGTGAATGAGATTGGGGTTTCAGTTTCCTCCATATAAAATAAAGGATTAGACTAGGTTGATCTATTGCTCAGGCTCCTTCCAGCTCTAACATTCCATCACCCTCCATGACCTCCTCCCAGATATTTACCTCGAAGTTCGTTTCCTTCAAATTTTTGCCGCCTTCGGTTTCCATTTCCGATTCCCTGGAAGCCTACAAAACAATGAGTTGGCATGAGACATGCCAGAGTAGTAAGACATTCAGTTTAGTGATTTTTAAAACTTTGAATAAAAAATTTATTGTGAACTTAACTTTAAACAATAACAAATGCAAGTAAGTTTACATTTACAACTAAGTTTATAATAGACTTTAAGTCCACAGGTATTTCTAACATCACCTATATTTGACAGCTGTATTCCTTTCCATTGCCTTGTTTGTCCTATTAACACTCGTGTTGCTTGTATATTTTCCTCATCTATTGTCAAAGTAGATATGCATGCCGATTTGGTGCTGGCATTTTCTTGTCATACTAGTTCATGAATTTTTTTCATTAATTCATTTATTCAATAAACATTTATTAAGTGTCTATACTATGTGCCAGGCACTGGGCAAAGCACTAGTGATACAAAAAGAGCAAAAGATAGCCCATGCCCTCAAGGAACTTACAATCTAATGAGTAAGACAACATGCAAATAAATACATACAAAGTAAGCTAGATACAGGATAAATAAGAAATAAATGAGGGAAAGCACTGGAATCAAGAATAGTTAAGGAAGGCTTCCTGCAGAAGAGGGGATTTTAGTTGGGCCTTAGCAGAAGTCAGACAGATCAGCAGGAGAGAGAACATTCCAGGGATGAGGGATAATCCAAAAGATCATAGCTCTAGAGTCAGAAGGAACCTTGGTGGCCACCTATTTCTATCCATAAATTTTACAGATGAAGAAACTGAGATCCATGGAAGTGAGTTTTCCTAGGTCCCACAGGTAATAAGTGTGTAAGGTGGGATTTGAACCCAGGTTTTCTGACTCTAGAGTCCGTGCTAGGCCTGGATACCCTGCACCTGGTACTTCTCCAACCCCCTTCCTTTTTCAGCTTCCTTTCATGTGCTGACTTCTCATTAGAATGTCACCTCCTTGAGGGCAGGGACTATCTATCTTTTTGCTTGTATTTGTATCCCCGGTGCTAAACACAGTGCCTGGCACATAGTACGCACTTAGTAAATGCTTGTTGCTCACCTGCTTTTCCCATGGGATGCCTTCAGCAGTTTTCTAGTTGAAGATTTATCTAGGGCAGTTGAGTCAAATTCAGAGGGGGGACTTTACACATAAGATCCTGCATATTGACTCAGTTTTAAAATGCAATGTTGTCTATGCTTTACAGTATTCTAAATTTTATTTTGTTAAATATTTCCCAATTATATTTTAATCTGGTTCTGACCACATTCTGAAGTGTTGCTGGCCATGTGGTTGACACCTTTGATCTAGGGCACTATATTCCACTTGAACAGCGAATGACATCATGGCAGATGAGGACAGTCAGTCTTATGACTAATGGGTAAAGGGAAAGCAAGTGGCTTCCTGTAGCCCTCAGGTTTTTCTTCCTTACAAAACATGGCTGCTTACCTCTAAAGGAAGGCTTGTGAACCAGACTGCAAATAAGGAGCACTTTTGTGAATGATTCCTTTATTTGACCTATAGTTATTTCTTCCCCTTATTCCTAGAGTCATTTCAATTGAGTGAAAATATCTTGTGGTAGCAAGAGCATTGGGGCAGGAATCTTAGGATCTGAAAGTCTGGGGGACAGGAGAAGGGGACCTCGGGGGAGGCTGGAGATCACCTGATCCAGTCCCTTAGGCAACTTGCAGAAGAAGGAACAAGGGCTCTGGAGCCAGGTGACCTGGGCTTAAATCTCACTTCTGATGCTTACTAAATGTCACTTAACCTCATTAGGACTCTCATCACCTGTAAAATGGGGAGAGGGGAATCCTAGATGGGCCTTTGAAGTACCTTCTAATTCTATATCTGAAGTTTTCTGAGTCTATGGTTCTCTTTGGAGGGGGAGGGAAGGAAGGAAACAAGCATTTATTAAGTACCTACTGCATGCCATGCACTGTGCTAAACATTTTACAAACATTACCTCATCTGATCCTCACAACAACCATAGGAGGTAACTGCTATTATTACCCTCATTTTATAGCTGAGGAAGCTGAGTTAGGCAGCAGCTAAGTGCCTTGCAAGTGAGTTCTCCTGACTCCAGGCCCAACACTCTAGCCACTGGGCTGACTATCTGGGTAGGGATATGTTTTGGGGGTGTGTATGTGTGTGTTCCTCTTCTGTTAAATTAAGAGATTAGATATGGGGTTAGCTATATGACAGCCTGGCAGAGTGCATAGAGAGCTGTGCTGGAAACAAAGACCTAAATTCACATCCCACCTCCTCTATGTACTGGCTGTGTGACTCTGGTCAAGTCATCATTATAATTGCAGAGGAGGTAAGTGGCAGAGGTAGTTTCTTCATCTGGGAATTCCCTATTTTGATACAGTGATAGCTTCGAATCCCTATCCCTGGATTAGATGATGCCTGAGGTATCTTCTATTGATTCCCTCTGACCGGGACCCTCAGACAGACTTTCATCAGAGCCTGAGCCACCAGGCCTTTCATCCATAACATGCTACCTAGGACCAGTACCTCAGACACTCAGCCATACTAGCACCCAAGAACATGCTCCAAATGCTGGGCCTCTTCCGATTACGGCACCTCTTTTTCCTGTTCAGTCATACCCCCTGCAGATTCACTCACCAGATATTTACTGACCCAGATGCCGGATCTGATCTCCCTTCTTTTCTTGTATTTGAAAGAAAACTAATGACCTCTGCTCTCATTATCACAAGGCCCATGAGAGTCAGAGACGCAATCACATGGTACATCCCAGTATTATATCTAGCAAACTTCCACTTCACTCTTTCTCCCTTCCTATGATTCAGAGTAGTGGGCTATGTAGGCAAAAACTCTCTTCTGTTGCTACTCCTTTCTGCTCCCTTATCCCCACCCACCTCAGACTTATCTCTCCTGAACTGTTTGGAAACTCTGTTCTACTATTAACAAATTATTAACAAATTCCCTCAATCATCTGACATCTGGATAGAGAAAATGCCTTGGTGTTCTCTGCTATGAAGTCCACTAGACTGAGGGCCTACTTTCTCATTCTGGCTCCCTGGAGAGCGGATGCAGGACAAAAAGGGGATTTTTCCAACAGTGGTGTCCCTTTCTCTACCATAAGGCAAACGGAAAGGAAGACACTTTGTTCCTTTCTGATCTTCTCATATTCATTTAGGCCCCTTAATTCCTTCTCTGACATTTTAGATATGTTCAGTATCTTCTCTCCATGCAGGATTTGGGTTATCCAAATAGAACTACAGCTCAATCATTCTGACTGAGCCCACCCACCTGTTTAATTAAATGTTGGGCCTGACCAATTCCCCTTCCATTCCCATATACACACTCACTAAATTAAATAATTGTTTGATATGCCAGTAATTACTTATTTCTGAGGTGGTCAAGGGAGGCATTCCAATGGAAAACACTTCCTATTTTTCTTTTAAATCACAAGATGACTTTAGAATCCACTAGTAAAACATTTGAAGAAAGAATTTTTTTAAAAAAACAGTTTAAGTAGAAAGAATATTCTCTGGCTTCAGTGTGTACCAGGATTTCTCCAAGGTCATGTTCAGGTGCATGAATTGTAACGTTAGGAGAAACACAGGTGAATTTATGAATTGTCTATTCAGTCTATTTTCGGGCATTTGTAAAGCCAAACCACTGTTACTTCTATTCTAATTTTCTAATTTTGGGGGTTTTCTGTATTCTTTCACCTACTCTCGTTAGTACCAGATCTTTCAAGAAAGAAATATACAGCAGTAGCCACAGACGATGCCAGGGAATAAATGAGGTGATGCAGATAGGAGTTCACCAAAGACCACCAAAATCTTGATGTGGCCTCTTAGGTTCTGAAATGCTGAAATGCTATTTGAAGGACCTTGTGTTACAGGATTATAGAGCACATCTCAATAACAAGAGACAGAATGGATAAGGTATAATTTCTTAATCAGGATCCTATTACCTCCACTAATTGCCTGATTATTTTAACCCAAAGCTTCCAAGCTCTCTCACTAGTTTACTGCTATCCCTCCCACCTAGAGAATCTCAGAGAATTGCCTTTGGCCCCCATGTCCCTTCTGAGTCCAGGACACCTGTCGGTATTCCCAGAACTCCTGAATCTATTTATTTTCCTTGCCCGTGTGCAGTGTCTAGGCTAGCTCCCAGGAGGCTTTCAGAGGCTCTTCAGCTGTAATTGACAGGGACAAAGACATCTTCAGTGCCATCACTTCAGGTGGGCAGGTAGGAGTGGAAATTAAATGTGCTCAAGAGCTCTAGGGACAGAATTGGAGCCAGAGGCAGAGAGTAGCAGCAAAAAATATAAACAGTTTTAGTGTAGGAGGCTAAAAGGAAGTCACACAATGCATTTCACAGAACTTCAATTAGGTCTTGTTCTCAAAGAAAGAAAGCTTAGTCAAAAGAGTACCCACTTATCATTAACTCAGTGGATAAGTAGCTTCTCTTGTTGATGAAATAGTCTATTTATTGATAACTAATGGCCCTCAAATGCTTAAGAATGGACTCCTTCATCATCATCATTATCATTTCAAGTAAATAGCAAGCATTATTAAGCTCTTACTATGTGTCACACTATGTTAAGGGCTGGAAATATGAAGACTCATCATTAATGAATATATACACCCACATATAAAATACACACATATATTTATATATTATGTATAATGCCAAAACCAAAGAAACAATCCCTAACTTTTTTTTTCTTAAAGAATAGCTTTGTAAGTAGTCCCAAGTCTTTGTCTGCCACCTCCCAAAGGAAGCCTTCAGGATGGAAAGCAAATTAGGTCATTATATTTGGGAATAAGGAGTCTCCTATTCTAGTCCTGGCTTGGCTACTGACTAGTTATGATCATTTCCCTTCTCTGGGTCTGAGTTTCCTCATCTGTACAATGAGAGGATTTAGCTAGATGATGCCCTGAGTTTCCTCAAACTGCAATATTCTGTGATTGTATAATTTTATTCCTCTCCTGATATAACATGGTAACACCTTCCTTCCAGAAATCAAATCTATTTCTCATCTTTCAATTCTTCCCTCTAAGAAACATCCCCTGTAATTTAAGTCAGGGAGTTTCAACTCTTGGGAAACTGAGGCACCAAGAAGGTCATCCCCTTAGGCCACAAAGTCAATCTTGGGCAAGCTTGTATCATTGGAACCTAAATTTCTGCTCAGTGTGGAAAGCTGGGCCCAGAGCTACACAAAGTTGCTTTCTGGGTTCTAATGAACCAGGCAAGTGAAAACCTAGGCTGCTTTTAGCATCAGCATCTTTAAACTTGCCTTTCTGATCAGCAGGATTAATAGAGGGGCTAGTGGGGAGATTGTATTACTGTTCTTATTGACAGAGGTGATGAACAGAGACGTGGCCAGGGAAATGAACTCATCCAATTTCTCCTTCTGATCAAGCCCTCCAATGGCTGCAGCACCTAAGGGTCCCCGGTTTCCTTCCCTAGCCAGCTTCCTTGAGACTGGACAAAGTTCAAACAGCCCTAGCAAGAGACTGAGTAACATTGGTCCCCATCGATTGCCCATCTGGGAACGGCGTCTGGCTGAAACACCGGTCTAATATCGGGCTGTACATCTGCAGTCCCAGGGGCGCCCGGCCTTGCAGAAATCTATTAAGAAACAGGTGGGAAACGAAGTAATGATTTTAAGTGGCCGCGGAATCCGGTGGAGGGCAGCGGCTGCCACTATGTAGCAGTACGGGCTTCGACCCCACTGCTGGCGGGGAGCAAGAAACGGACCCTGCATCAGACTTCTGCTTGAACCCCATCGCCCCGCGCCTGTGCCCTCCGTCCGGTGCAATCGTTCCGCGTCCTGCAGTCTCGGGCACCCACCCTGGGACTGGGCACCCTAGAGAGACCGACCTTAGGGGCACCTTCCCCGCCCCTTTCAGGACACTGAAACTAGCAATGCTTGCTTGTTTGTTTGTTACCTCGGCATTGCAGCGAAGCAGCAGGATCCGTCTGTCTGTCCCTCTGCACAGTCCGTCTCTTCTCGGGGTGAACTATAAGGAGCATATCTATGGTTATTTCACAGTTTTCCTTTTTCAACTCCATGGCACCTGTTAGCTATGCGCATTGGCCCTCACTGCCCGCCCCACACGCAGCTGCAGCAGCGGCGGCCGCCGGCTGTCGTCCCCGATGCGGCGTCTTGCAGCGAATGACACTGTTTATTTTCCTCCCTTTGAGCTGAGAGCTCCCCCTCACTCAAAACGAACACACAAACAGCATTTCGCTGACTCTGCCAAACACGCCATTAGTGCCCAGGAGAGATCTACCCTAATGAAGAGGTTATAAGTCACCTTTGAAAGGAAATCCCGGCGCGGATCCATTACCCACAGTGGAGGAAGGAGAGCGCTTGGAAAGAAGAGTTCTAGTTTCACAAGGGCCTCTCCCTCTGCCCCCGCCCCCTCCCTTTTCCCTCTCTCTTCCCCCAAGTTCTGTTTGCCTTCCTGCCCTTTTCATTTTGACCACTTGCCTTCTGTATTAATACTTTTCTCAGAACTAGTTTAGGCTTGGCTGGCTTCTCTCTGGAAGCTTTAAAGCTTCTTTCTTGCAGAGAAAAGGAGGATTTTCCTCTCTCCTGTCTCCCAGGTCTAGTCTGATGTGGAAATCTTACAACTTAGGCAAAAACTTACTGAAAAAAATTTAATTGAAATTGAAAATTGAATTTAATTGAAAAAAAGCAGAAAATGAGGAGCAACAGAGCTTTTCTGAATAAGCTGCAAGAAATGACAGTGATCAGATATTTCTCTTTTGCACCCTCATGTAGCCCAGTCCCTCTCATATGTATCCAAATGTAACATATATTATGTATATGTGTCATGTATGTGAATCTAAATATACATGTATATCTGTGTATATAGCCCCTCTCATATATATATATATATATATGTATTTGGATACATATATGGATATGTGTATATATATATCACACATATGTATTTATACATGTATACTTATACATATGAGAGAGGCTAAATATACATACACACATATATACACATAGATATATTTATTAATCTACTGGAGAAGAAGGGTAAATAAAGTTGTTTGCAGGGGGTGGGGAATGAGGGAGAGTGAGAGAGAGATTGAGAGAAGGAGAGATCTCTGCAGGCAATTGATTTTCACACTAGTCAGATTGGGTAATAGGATCTCCTGGGTGTTTAAGTGACAGCCCACAGTAATGTAGACTGAAAGTTTTGAAAATCCTTTCTCCCTTAAAAGTCTGTTCTCCCCTCCACCCCTCATGCCTATCCCCCTCCCCATCTTCTCTCTCTCACTCCCTCCTGCCTTTCAAATAGGCTAGCCATGAGACAGAGAGGGAACAGTAAGATTTAGCAATTAGGAGGGACCCTGTTTAGCTGGCCACTGAGATTTGGAGAAGGCTTGAGCTGAGAAATCCTTTCTAATTTTATCTCAGGCTCCTATCCTGTCACAGAGCTGGTAGCTGCAAGACATTTGGCTGGTGGTCCCTAGGGGAATGTTAACACCTGTGGGTGACAGGCCTTGGCAGTGTGATTCTATGCTTCCACATGCTTAGAAAACTCATTCGTCATGCATAGGATGTATGCCACCTCAACCTGGGGTCCAAGTCCTTGTTTGAGATCACACAGTTATTAAAACTAACCCCTTAACAGGCATTTGTTCCCTCTCTCAGGCCTGTCACTTCAGACCCTCATTTTTACACTAAGGATTCTTTCCCTGAATCTAAAACTCCAAGAAATGTCCTGCGAATTGTTAATCTCTCAGACTGACAGTTGACCATACAGGGAGCCCTGAGAGGTTGTATTTGGTCCTCAGGAGCATGAAAGGTAGTGCCATACTCCCTGTAGTAGGGGTAGGGGTTGGAACAGAATTTGCACTGGTATAGGGAACTCCCAAAGGAGGAAACTTCTTCTAGTAATATAGTTGAAAACTTCTTTGCAACTTGGAGAGTTGCATTGAACATTGAGGTTAAGTGACTTGCCCAAGGTCACACATCAGTATGTGTCAGAAATAGGATTTCAACCTAGGTCTTCCAACTAAGGCTAGCTTTCTGTTTGCTATGTTACCCTGCCTCTTCCTCTTCCAACAACAACAATAGAAATGTATGAATAAAGACGAGTTTACATCCCCATACTTTTATTGAATTATAAAAAGTAGTCATGTTATCCATTCATGTGATAGTGTTCATGAAATATAAAAAGATAATGCCGGATAGGACCTCTCCTAGGACCACTTCTATCCAAACTCCATCAAACTTAGACAAGAATGAAATAATAATATCTGAAATTTACCCCTTTCTACCTCTCTCCCTACTAGCTCTCTCCCCTCCCCCCCCACCTTGGTACAGGTCACCTAAGGTTCTTTGATGGTTGCTGTAGGACTGACTTAGTCCTATGGGATTCTACCTGTCCCTCAGACCTCAGTTCTCTTCCCTAGGCTCTACCTCCTATACTGCAGCTTAGGTCATGAGTCACTGTTGTCTGGAAGACTTGAGGTATTGTGTACGTATTGGGCTAGGGGTTAGAAAACAGGGAATTGAATCCATTTACAAGCATACCTCAGAGATATTGCAGGTTCAGTTCCAGAACACCACAATAAAACAAATATTGCAATAAAGAGAGTTATGTGGATTTTTTGGTTTCCCAGTGCATATAAAAGTTATGTTTACACTATACTGTAGTCTATTAAGTGTACAATAGTATTATGTCTAAAGAAAAACCAATGTGCATACTTTAATTTAAAAATACTTTATTGCTAAAAAATGCTAACCATCATCTGAGCCTTCAGTGAGTCATAATCTTGCTGGTGGAGGGTCTTGCCTCGATGTCGTTGGCTGCTTATCAGGGTGGTTGTAGCTGAAGGTTGCTGGCAGCTTCTTAAAATAAGACTCCAATGAAGTTTGCATCAATCAGACTCTTTTACCCAAGCACTTAGAGGCCATTGTAGGGTAGTTAATTGGCCTCATTTAAATGTTGTTGTGTCTTAGGGCCCCAGGAGAGGGAAAGAGATGGAGAATAGCCAGTCGGTACAACAGTCAGAACACATACAACATTTATAGGTTAAGTTTCCATTTTATAAGGGAGTGGTGGTTGGCTCCCCAGCCCTTTCTGAGAACGAGGGACGAACAACAACAATAGTAATATCAAAGACTGATGATTACAGATCATTGTAACAGATAAAATAATAATGAAAATGTTTTAAATATGGTGAGAATTACCAAAATGTGACACAGAGATACAATTTGAGCACACAATGCTGGAAAAGTGGCACTGATAGACTTGCTCAAGGCAGGGTCATCACAAACCTTTAATTGTGAAAAATCAAATATCATCGAAGCACAATAAAAGGAGATATGCCTGTACTTACAATGCGGTAAAAGATTGCCATGGGGGTTAGTCCTGCAGTTTTCATGCCCAGTCCAATGGATTCAACTTGACATTCTCTCTGCTACCACTCCAAGAAGGCAGAGGAGTGTTCTAAACTGGCAAAGTAGATGACAAAATTGGCCCACAGGGCTCTTTGCTCTATTCCTTGTTCCTTCAGCTATTCCTCTCTCATCCTGTCCAAATAATCACTGAGACCTCTTGTGCTAATCATATCCATGGCTGTGTCTCACTGGGGTGGGCAACACTGAGTTCTCCTTTGTTGCCGTCCTTCGTTCTAGAAGAACATCACAGGGTGATGTCTTGACTTGCATGACTTGGATTTAAGGGAGGCCGAGCTACACAAAATTATTAGCCTCACTCCCTCCTCCAGAATCATTGAAGACCAGTGGCAAGATGAAAGTCAAAAGGATTGTCCATGGCCCAGGATAGAGTATGTGATCTTGGCCTTTCTAAAATAAAGTCTTTCCCAGTTCTAAGTTTGTCTGAGGCAATACCCACCTTAATGACTAAGGGCTAGGTAAGAAGTGAGACAAAAGATGGCCCAATTTACCATCCTAAAAATGTTAACTATGACAGGGGAAGACCTTTAGAGTTTTCGGCCTGAATAGAAAATGATTGCTATTTACATTAATTCTAAGCCATAAAACCTAAACAGTGAGCCACCAAGGCTCATGGAGTTGGGGGGTGGGGGTGGGATGGGGGGAGGAAACTGCTACTGGGTATTCAATGAAAACCAGAGTGCTTTCGGTGTAAAGTCCTAGTCAAGTTCATTTGAATCAGATGGGCTCCCTTAGAGGAGGTGTGGTGTAGTGGAATGAACATTTGATTTGGGGACATTTGGTTCAGATCTCATTTCTATCATTAAACCTGTGGCCTTGAGTAATTTGTGTATCCTAAGTCTGAGTTTCCTTATCCATAGAGTGGGAATAATACTTGGACCCCATACTTCACATATCAAACAGAAGTAGAATGTAAGCAGAATGCCTTGTAAATCTTAAAGTGTTATATAAATATGAATAGTAATTTTCCCCCTAACCTTTCCAGAACTTCTCACCTCCTCCAACTTAAACTGCATCTTGTTCTTTGGCAGCCATGCTTTTTATAGGGAATTAATACAATCTAAAATGTGAAAGAGGAAAATGGTTTAATGTATTATCCCTTCACTCTATATGCCTACTTTGTACAAGTAGCTGTGCTTGGCATTATGTTGTTGTTCAGTGGTTTTCAGTTTTGTCCCACTCTTCATGACCCCTTTGGAGATTTTCTTGCCAAAGATACTGGGAATGGTTTGCTATTTCCTACTCCTGCTCATTTTATAGAAGAGGAAACTGAGGCAAACAGTGTTAAGTTGCCCAGGTTCACACAGTTAGGGTCCAAGGCTGGATTTGAACTCAGGTCTTCCTGACTCCAGGCTTAGCACTCTGTTCACTATATTCTTAGCTGCCCTCATGGATCTTAGAGTCTAGTAGACATATACATACACAAATAGCTATCAAACCTCCAGAATAAAATATAAATTCCTCAGTTTGGCATTTAACTCTTCACAACATGGCTCTGTCCTATCTTTCTAACTTTGTTACGTGTTACTACCCTCCACACACTGTATGTTCCATCAAGACTGGCTTTCTTGCTGTTCCCCTCACATAGCACTCTATCTCCCATTGCCACACTTTTGCCATGGCTGTTCCCCATGCCTAGAATGGTCTACCTCTTCA